GGTCTTCCGGAAGACAGTCAGGTTATTAAGTTTATATTGCCTGGTATCTATTTTTTCTTCTGTTGGAAGACCATCAAAATGGAGGATGGATCAAAATAGATAATTTGGAATACTGTCAGAAAATATCTCTGGGTCCACTCATGTCATTGACCATTTTACCTGTTGTGCATGATTAAAATTCAGTGTTGACTGACAGTGCTATTATAAGAATTATTTATTATTGCATCAAAATTGACAAAATGACCTATTTTGCATTTTTATTTTCTGTTTTTGTCTGTACATTTGACAGCTTTGCTGCCTTGTTTAATATTTCGTGGCTTCTGGCATCACACCAAATATAATCTTTGTCACATGTAACACATAGGTTGTAGTCCACAATTTTTCATGAAGATTTTGTACATATGGTACCAAAAGATTTTTTTAAGGAGAAAGTTTTTGGCATTCCAAACGTTGTATCATGACAGAATATGAATATTAGATTTTAAACATGAGCACTGTACTTGAAAATGTTTTTAATGTTACAACACAAAGCCAAGTTTATTAGACTTGAAGAAAGAGAGAGAGAGGGGGAGGATTTATTTGAGCATTTGTCTTTAGGACTCAAATTGGGTCAGTTTCTTAAGACTCCAGTTGTTACATTGTCTATATGTACATTTGAACTGTTTGTACTTTGTATTTTAACATGCTGACTATTTAGTTTTTAGATTTGTACAGCTTTGTAGGTGGTTCTGTCATAACTCAAGATGTTCATTTTTTGCTGAGGCTATATTTTAACCAGAAACATGCAAAGGTATTTTATTTTGTCTTCGCTGTTAACTGCCATTCCTTGCAGTTTTATTTTGATGCTTTTGAGTTGTTTCCTAGTGTTAAAATGTTTAAAAAAGTAGTAGAAGTAGTAGTAGCATACTGACGTTTGATAAAGGAAACTGAATCGTTGATAACATGTGCCACACGTTGTTTTGATGTTTTAGATATTTGACTGAAAAGTATCTTTGCTCTGCAAGCTAGTTAAAGGTACAATTTAATTGTATTCGTATTTTAAAGTTGTAAATTTTTCCTTCCTGCGAGAAGACAAGTTGCCATCCTATGTATTCTGCAGAATTACTGCCACCTTGAGCACTGAATTGTCCTATTTGATATTTATTTCACCTTCAAATAGCTGAAAATGCTACACCATTTGTTATAAAACACTGTTAAAATAAATCTTAACACTAGCACACCAAGGTACATTTGGACACACGTCCAAACACCACAACTTCATTTCAGGGGTATTCTTATTTAGCAAAAACGCTCGGAATCACCCAATGTCCAACACCGTCACGCTCACTGTTGTTCCATCTGGCACACTCTGCAGAATTGCTCACAGTTTTGACAAATTTATAAAACTATAATCACCTATCTTAGACGCGTAGTTGTCTGGTTCTATTTGTACATTGTATGTAGAGAAAAAACCCAATGTATGAAGGTCTAAAGTATTTTTACATTCCCGATGTAACTGTAGATCAGTCGATGGATGACGTTTATCTAAAATAAAATGTCAGAATTTATTTTGTTGTTCTGTTTACTAACAAGAGAAAACGGTTTATTAGCGTGCATATATTAATGTTTATTGCTCCCACCGAGTGCAATTCACTTGTGTTAGCGGCGACATCTTCGCAACTCTTGATATCCTATCCATTGTGTTCAATCTCGCATAACACGATTTGTAATGGTCTTTCTAGATCTTTCGTTGAACTTGAATGCATTTACATAATAAATACCAAACATTTCTGATTACTAAACGGTACATTAGTACTTTTACAACTTATCTTATGCATTGATATACATAGAGTTAAAATGTTTGTTTTGGAATTTAAAAAATGCATGAAAAGTATACTTGAAAGAAATCTCAAAATGGCACTATTTGGCTGCTTGCAAATGAAAAATTGCTCTCCAATGGGTAATGCAACATGTCGTCCTGGAAACAGTTTTGTGTAAACGTCAATATCAATATTTACAAAAACAAGCTGCAAGAAAAACAAGTCTCTGGCAATCAAATCCTTCCACCTTTCAACAATTTTCGCCGTATGTTATCTCACAGGTTTACATAAATAATCTACCGACATACAACTCTTGTTTCCAAACGTTTATCTTTCAGCATTCATTTAACAACTAGTCCCTTCCTATCTTTGGAAAAAGTAAGTGACCATTGGAACCGATTTGAGAGTTATCAGCATATACAGTAACCGAAGACCTGTCCTAATTCTCAACAGTATTTGTTACAGTGAA